TATAGTATAATATTTTAATGTTACTGGGTTCAGCTTTAGAGTGGTGTTTTGCATACTTCAATTAAAGGGTGGTGTAATATATTTAATGTTTAAGTTTAAGTTTAAGTTGGTTACCAAGTGTTTCATCTTTATGTCCATGCACATATAGCTACAGTACTGTACATTGATTCCAGTCAGCAAAATTACAGTAACCATATCATTGCAGGGCATGAAAAATTTTAAAACATCCACTATCTCAGTGGTCAAGTATATTTCAGTTTAAATTTTGATCTCTCAAGACTATTAGTGAGGTTTTTAAATTATGTTTTTATCCATTATTAAGCAAATGAATAACATTTTAAAAAACCTTATATTTTGGCAGCCATGCTTTTATCACACTCATATTGAACTACATTTATTTATCATATTTTTAGCCTTACATTATTAATTTATCACGAGGTACAAGATGTGGTACTAGCTGTAATGATTAGCGCATAATGGTTGTGTTCTTGGGTAGGACACAGTACTCTCACAATATACTCTCTCACTGTCCTTGTGTATAAATGGGTATAGACCACTTTCATAAACGGCTGCAGGATTAGCCCTTCTAGCCCCGCTTGAGATAATGTATTCTTTTTAATTTTGTACTGGAGAACGAGGCCTGAAGGGTTAATTTAAATTTAAACTAAAAAATATTAATCCGGCAGCCATTTATGAAAGTGGTCTATAGGCAAATGTAATTCTGAGGGTTGCACTCGCTGATGAATAAGCATCCTATAAATACTACTTGTCACTACATCTTTCAGAAACTGTAGTTAAGTGCCGGCAGTAAAATCCCTTACCAAAACCAAATATATTTTACATATATCTGCTACATATGTGTGTGACATATATGTCACATACATGTAACATATGTGACATATGTGTCACATATATGTGACTTGTGTCAAATGTAGGAATTTGGAACCTATGTGCAGTTATGTGACATGTATGTGGACATCTGGATTTTACACAAATAAATAAAAAATATATGCCACATATAAATGTAAAGTTCTTCACATGTCAAAGAGAACCTTGCGTCAAAGAGAGAAGCATACATACCATTTAGACGGCCAGAGCTTGGACTTGCCTCCTGACACCAAGGATTTAGGTGTGACTGTCACTACTCCACTATCATGGATGACGCACATCGAAGAGATATGTGCCAAGTGTAACAAAGTTCTTGGTCTTGCAAAGCGTGTATGCGGTAGAGACATTGTTAACGTATCAACAAGGAAAATGATGTACATTGCATTAGTTTGCCCAATCGTCGATTACGTATCCTCTGTATGGTCTCCTTACACAGCAAAGCATCGTAGGCTAATCGAAATTATTAAAAACTGGATCATTGGATAATGCAATTCAAGACTTTTTATTGGCTTAGCCAATAATCTACCATAATCTACAAATATGGTAAGTGTGCGCGTCGGGTTAAAATCAAAAGGGAGCTAAAATTTAACATTTGGTAAGATTTTTCTTATATCTTGGGAGCGTTTCTAATGAAACAGTTATTCCACTTGCGCTTGTTGGATATGAGATGATTATAGCCAACTCGGCACTACACACCTCGTTGGCTATCTATCATCTCATATCCAACGCGCGCTCGTGGAATAATTGTTAAATTAATATACAATGACGGGCTACTAAATTTATACTAAAGCACCCAGATAGGAAAACCAGCTACACTGCGAGACTGAAAACTCTTAGCCTACTGCCACTTGAATTCAGAAGAGAAGTCCATGATCTTGTCATTTTATACAAAATTAGGTCAGGTCTTATCAACGCTAGCTTTGACCATCTTCTGCTTCCTGCTAACCATAAATACTCAACCCGACATCATCATCCTGCAAACATCCACCCTTTATTTACTCATACTCAGCGGTATTTTACAAACTCTTTCTTTCCTCGCACAATTAAATTATGGAACGATTTACCGAGCAACATTAAGCAAGCGAGCTCTTTACATAACTTTAAAGCCTTAGTTAAGCGGTTTTATACAGAAAAGCTCACGCTTTATACTCCGCCCTAACTAAGTGTCGCAGTCGGTCGGCAAATTATTTTATTCTATAGACAAAGTACATAAGTGCATATGTAACCTATATTTTTCTATTCTTTGTATTTTGTAAGGGGACAAATGTCAGTTGGG